CTCAGCTTTCTTCTCACCATCAAAAGCCCAGAAGTAAAAGCCCACTGAGCTGTGTGCATTTTAACACCTGCCTGCATGAGGCAGTTTGCTGTGAGCCCAGCAGATCTTCACCCCCACCAGGCACTTGGTATTTCCTTACCTGCAGCAGGGAAACCTTGCTTGTCCTCTCGTCTGCATTGCAATGCCCGAGCCTACCTAGACCTCTCCTCCCCAGTATCCCTGTGCCCGTAAGTCAGCCCTCAGCCTAAGCAAAATAGAAATAAAAAAATAAAAATTATTCAAAAATTAATGCCCACGTTCCATGTGTGTCCACACGGCTGCTGAAATCCACGCTATGGATCTATATCCTCCAAGGATCTATACTCCCCATGGATCTAGACTAGTTATTCCCATCGCTACCGATGGGAGCAGCCCCTTCTCCATGTTCTTCTTCCCCAAGAGCCAGTTCAAGATACCAGTTTTGTCCAAAGCTGACCCAAGGACAGCAGTTCCTAATCCAGCTGTCATGAAGCTGTATAAATGCTAGCACTAGCCCAGAAGAGAGGGAGAACAGGACCACTACCTGAGATCTCCACCTCATTTGGGCTACAGTGCAGGTCTGGGTTGTGGCAGCTTGAAGTCCCTGAAGATCCCACACAACCACAGCTCTGTGTCCTTGCACAGAATTACACTCCTTTCTTATTAGACCAAGGCATGGCTTGACCTGGTTCCAGCTGAAGGCAGATAACTCTCAGCCAGTCATGTTCATAGTACGTGGTCAGATCTGATCAGTTGTTAGATGTTTACTTGGTTTTCATCATTTTAATTAAAGCACATAAGTAACCAACTCAGAGGCTGCTCATGTTGGTTCAGGGATGATGCAGAAGGAGGTAGACGAGCTGCAAAGATGTTATCTTCAAAAACAAGCTGTTTGCACTAAGTAGCGCTAATAACAAGAGCTAATGACAAAAGTACTAGATTAAGAGGATTTTTACAGTGTGTCTTAAACTATACTGTAGGGCCTATTTTGCTGAAGTGTGTCTTAAATTAAATTCTTAATTGATTTGGGTCCCGATAAGAGAGAACATCTCACCCGGTACTTTTGCACTAGATCCGTGCTGGCATGAGTAAATCATACAGTGCAAACCAGCAATTGAGTATGATCTTTCCAATTTAGCTTGTCCCCGTTTCAGATATAGCAATTACACTTCCTTATTATTATCCCCAGTTTAACCCACTTATGCCCAACCTGACTCAGAAAATTTTAGGGGAAATAGTTAGGCCCCTAACCATCAAAAAATAGAGAGGTGGGTGATGTTTTTAACTGGGACATTTCAGTGATCCAGTTTCAGTGATCCCTGCTGCAGCAGCACAGCGAGGGCATGGGCCAGTTTTGCCTTGAAACCAGAACATGCAGTTGCAACTGGGGAAAGAGGGGTGGGGGAAATAAGCAGGGGCAGAAGAAGGACACCTTAAGCTTGCCTTATTGCAGACCTACAGCTACTTGAAGAAGCTCCTGTCACAGGTCAAACCCCTCATCTTAGGTGCCGAACAAGCAAAAAGTGTTAACCCAAAAAGCAAATAAATAGGATCTGCACATAAAGTAAACCATGGGATGGGTGAATATAGTAAAACTAATGGAAGCTTTAGGTCTTCTTAAAATGCCTTGGGATTCTGCACAGAGAATATAAGATTTATGCTGTAGGAATTAAGAATTAACTTTAAATCAGTCCTTAAAAAAGAGAGAGGTGAAGAGGGAAGTACAACAAAAATCAAAGGATGTGGTGAAGGTCAAAGGTGAAAAAAACTGCAGCAGTAATGAACTTTTCATGTTCAAGCCTGACACTAACCACAGAATACAAGATCAGACTGGTTTAACTAACCACAGGGTCAAGGAAATCAGGCGTTGGGCAAGAGTTACTCTGTCCAGAAATATGTTTGCCATATTTATACTAATTTTTATATTAGAGTTTTAAAGACTAGCTTTGCCTCCGGACAAAGAGATCTTTTAGTGCTGATCTTATGCATGGTTAGTTTTTTGACCAATAGGTGCTTCTTCATCCAACAGCTGGCCACTTGATAGTATCCCTTGACACAGTTGCTTCTTAGACCTTACACATTTTCAGTACTAAGATTATTTTTTTATGCTTAAAAATTAACTACATGTTTTTCTTTACAGTAATACTTGTGATGCTTTTTTTATTATTATTTGTGGTTATTATTCCATGGTTAACATTTTCCATAAAGATCTTTTAAAACTGTTTTGGATGTCACTGCAGCAGGATCTTCAAACTCCCCAGGTCTCTATCAGATTTGGGTGGGAGAAAAGCAAGGACCAATATTATTAGCATTTGTGCAACAAAACCATCCTTTGACTCTACAAAAGCAGACAATTCGGAAAGAATGCTGGATGTAACTAGAAAGTACTTTTTTCTTGCCCAAACTAGCCCTGTCTTCTTAAGCTCACACTGGGGCAGCAGTGATCATTACAGGCTATTTTCTTGCAAGGCTTCATATATTCCAAAGGAGGAACAGCAGTTTTCTGGAATTAGAAACTTCAGCTCAGTTGATTTGGTTCCTCTTGAATTTGTGACCACAAAGATTATCAGGGGAAGACAACAACAAAAAATATTTAGATCTAGCAGCAAGATGTCATAAGGACAAGAATTAGCTAAAATACGCAACAACCCACTTCAAAACTGGCAATGAAGTTCCCAAGTCTCAACTGGAGACAGCATCTGCTGCCTTTCTAGCAGAAGTTATCTTTATTTACAGTGATTCTTCTTACCCTGGACTTCGTATTTCTTCGTATTTTCAAAACAGAAAAACAATGTAAGATTCCACAAGATAAACAAGGTAACTAATAGCTATATTTCACAGGAGCTTTGTGAATTTAAAGTCAAAAAAAGGGGGCATAAAGCCAATGTTCATATTGAAGACCGAGTATGACCCCTAGGAATACAAGAGACTAAGACTGATACTAAGAGATGATATCTAAAATCAGGTCATTTCTTTTTTTCTATTTACTTTGTTTCTTATTTTTAATTTAATAGCAATTGCTGTAGAGCATAGAATACAGTTGCACCAGTGACGAGCACTGTGATAACAGGTACCATACATTAAAACAAATTGCCTTCTCCGAGGACCTCAGATGCTTCAGTGTGGAAACACCAGCCCTCTGAATAAACTTACATCAGGAAGCATATCCTAATACCAGGGAATTTATGAACATCCCTCCCCACTGCTTCAAGTAAATGCCTGGCACAGAAGGGAGAGCAGGATTTCGGAGCAGGAGAGCATGAAGTCTGTCCCCATTACTGCAGGGAATCTGAAAGCCCATTCCAAGCAGCAGAATGCCAGCCAGGCACTTTCTAGGCAGCCACAACTGTATTACAGCAGCACAGGGAAAGCTTTCTGGGGCAGGCAGTTAGGGTATTAGGCTACAAGATATATTTGGATCCTTGATGCCCAAAGTCACTGCCCCTGTGTGATATACAGTCCCCTTGTCTGTCGCCTGCCAGTGCAACCTCTGTTAAAACCCACATTTTAAGATGCTTCACAATCAGATCTGCCATCCTTGCAGCTAAAACAGAAGCACCTTTGAAGCACTAATTAACTTGAAAGCACAGTAAGACAATCTTCAGTTCTAATGTATTTCAGTGCAGAAAATTAAAATATGGGTTACAGGAACAATTCACTCATGAGGCATCCGTACTTATAGGAAGTGAAATACAACCATTTGTGCCCAATGTCCTACCATCTGTGTCAAGCCTATTGATAAACCTTCCCTGACAGGATGAAATACTGCTCATGTAAAGGCATCCTTAACATAATATGCCTCTACAGCATTGGGCTGGACTAGGTTTGAAAAACAGCCTTTTATAATACACAGATGAATTTAGCACTTAAGAAGATTAATGGATTCGTAAATAGCCTGGAAATCCAAACTCATTGAATTTAGTTCATGGAACAGGTCAAATAGGCATTTATCAAACCATCTGGCATCTTTCTTCCCTGGGGAAAAACTGGTCAAGCTACGGATAGCTGAGGAGCCAGCGCAACAGGGAGGGTTTGGTTTTTCCCCTGTACTCAGCTTTCCTCTAGAAATCGCTGGTGCTAATTCAAAAGCAGTAGATCTTTTGGGGCAGAGTGCTGCAGACCAAAGCAGGCTGCCCCAAGGCATGGGTTTTGATGCCACTGGAGATGCCACCTTTTTTTGCTGGCAAAACGTAGGGGCAAAAAAAGCAGCTTTCCTGCCTCACATGGCAGCTGCTGCGGGAGTTCAGGAGCGTGCGGTCATTTTGCACGTGATCTGATGTTGGCTTCCCACAGAGCTGTTTACCCTACAGCCGGTGGGACCATCCATGGGGTTGTACACAGCAGCATTGGGGTCATGGTGCTGCTCGAGGCTGAGGGCATCATCTCTCACTCACGGCTGGCCTGGCCCAGCCGCTGTGAACAGACCCGACCGACCCAAGGCACCTTTGCTGAAGGAAAGTTCCCCAGTTCTGCCAGACAATCACAGGTGTGAGAGGGCACAGGTGCTGCTAAGAAAAGGTCTTCGTGCATTGAATTTGTACATTACCCACCATTTTTCAGTTGTTCAATGCCTGAAGTCCATCTTCAGCTGGCCTGTTCCTTCACGTACATTTTTGGGTACCCACCAGCGTACGGCTGGGGCAAGGGGCACAGGCGAGGACAGCCACCCGCAGTCATTTTTAGCCAACGTGTTGTCTGTACTGAACCACCACCTTAGCAAAATGTGAACCAGTGTGGCTCTCCCTCTGCTGCTGCTGCTCCAGCACCCATGGGGAGCAAGCCAGGGCAGGGGTGGAGGTCGTATTCATGTTGAATTCCTCATGAAAAAGCAGGGGGTGGGAAAAAAAAAAAAAAAAAGAAAGGTTTAGGAAAATGTTCAAAAGAGCTTTTTTCATTCATTTCCAATTTTATTCCTATTTCATGACATTTTAGCAGCAATAAAGGATTGTATATGTTGTATCATTTCATATGAACATGTACACCATAGTATGATAAGACATATATAATGAATTAATATAGTTTAAATGTCACAGAAGTGTATTTCTATATAGTCACTTTATAAAGCATTGCTACTTAACATAAATGTAAGCACAGTCATGTTCTAAGTCAAAGTGTCTATTTATGCTGCAATAAATAGCTTGCCATTTGCTCTAGACCATAAAAATGACATTCATGTATACCCATTTGAGTAGCCTACAAAAAAACCACCAGAGTAATTAGGTCTTTTATCTTTGAGAACAAAATATCAAATTATTTTATTAATGTGCTCTAATAGAGAAAATATAATTATTTCTGGTCACAGTAGCAGCTTTCACTGAAGATTTCAAAGATAAGACGTGTAAGATGCCATAGAAAAGAAAATGACAGCATAGTTGGTTTGTACAACGTAGTTGACATGGTAGGTAGTACATATTAGTGGTGGAAATACAAAATAGTTAGTAGGGCCTGGTGGCATTTGTCATCACCCTGTTCTGCCCGTGCTGTCATGCCATGAAATAATCTACAAATAAAAAACCCAATATATTCCTTGAAATAAATAGTCATTGAAAATTAAAAACACATTTGAAATGGATGTTAATAAGTAAGCCCTTACATTGAAATAGCTTTTCCTCAGATAAATGTTTTGACAAACATGGGTCCTCCTGCACCTGTGCCCGGATAGCAGGGGAAGAAAGGATCAAAATCCTGTCTGTAGACGTGTCCAAAACACTGTGCCTATCCCAGACCCGCCTCGGGCAGGCACCCTCCCCAGGTGCTGTTCTCCTGTTCATGAGGGCTAGTGCTGTGTCCCAAGATGGTACCCAGGACAGTCCTGCTCCCACACACACGCTGGTGGAAATCAGGAATAGTCTGCAAGCCTTCAGCAGCACCAGCCGTGTCTGTCAGGATATGTGGAGGGGATCTGGTTTTGCTGCCTCGTTTTGCTCTCATAAAGTCAATGGTTGGGTCAACTGAAGTAGGCCCAATGGAATAAACAGTGCCACATCATCATTTGTACAGAATCCTCTTCTGTCCACTCCCAGCAGGGGACATTACATACCTCTAAGCAAAACTTAGCCCTACGGCCATTCTTTCATTGCGCATCTTCTACGCAGCCCTGCAAGCGTCTGGGAGGCTCTGAGACCCCACAGGACAGGTTTCTCACCCAGAGTGGGACCCAGCTTTCAACCAGATCCCACCAACACCCAGAGAAATCTGGAGCCAGATCCAACCAACACAGCTCAAGAGAGTTTGGAGCCAGATATGTATCCAAGGCCCACAATATGAACCTTTCCCTAATGACTAGGTAGGTACAGGGACTAAATGCTTAAGCAGGACCCATGCTCCAGGCAGCCCTTGGACTATTTGCGCTGCAAAACAATCACTGTAAAAAGCACTGGGAGGTAAAAAGAGAAGGAGACAGCCTCAACATTGTCTTCCCCCACCCCAGAAGAAACCCCATCAGTCAGTCCCACCAGCTGTGTGGTATTACTGTAGACTTCGGTGGTGTTTGCCACCTCCTCAGGAAGGCCCATCTGGAGCAAGAGTTTGGAGATAAGGCTGTTGAACTTGCTCTCTGTGGTAGACCAAGGCTCTTCACTTGGGGTTGGGCCTTCAGATGTGAAGTTCAGCTCCACTGGATCAAGACAGTAACCTTCTGGCGATCTCTCATAGAGCACGTCCATCAGGTCAATCCCAGCTACTGAGGAGGGGGACGCACAGGGAATATCCCTGACAAGCCTGTAATTCTCCATCCACTCCTTCAGCCACTCGATTCGGCAGTCGCACTCCCAGGGATTGCGGAAGAGGTACAGTCGCCCCAGGAAGTACACCGGCTGGAAGACAGAAAAGGGCAGCGTCGTCAGGTTGTTGCTGTTCAAGTGCAACGCGACCAGGCTGGTGAGGTTTTCAAAAGCTCCTTCCTCAATGTAGTTGATCCTGTTGCGGTCCAGGTAGAGGACCTCCAGCTCCCCCAGGTCCCTGAACCAGGTGTTGGAAACATTCCTGAGGAAATTCCCCCCCAGGTTGAGCATCTTCAGGCACCTCAGCCCATCGAAGGAGTTTTCTGGAAGCTCACTGATCAAATTGTCATTCAGGTACAGGTACTCCATCTTCTGGCAGCCCTGAAAAGCTCGTTCATGAATGACATTTATCCTGTTGTCCTGCAGATTCAGGTATTTCAGCTTGGTCAGGCCCTGCAGGGAATTATAGGCTACTGCTTCAATCCTATTTCTCTCCAGGTAAACATGTGTCAGGTTCTCCATGCCCCTGATGGCACCTGGGATCCTCCGGAAGTTGTTCTGGAAGCAGAAGAGCTCCTGCAGAGCAGGCAGCTCAATGAAGATCCTGTCTGGGATGTTGAAAAGATTGCAGTCTGCCAGGTCTAGCTTGACCAACCGTCTGAGAGCAGTGAAGGTCCGCGTGTGGAGATAGCGAATATATTCGTTGTGGGCCATCTTCAGCTCGGTCAAGCTGGGCAGTCCCTTGAAAGCCCCTGGGGTGATGAAGGAGATATTGTTGTGGTTGAGCGACAGGGATTTGAGAGAAGGCAAGGTCCCAAAGGCCCTCTCGGAGAGGAACTTGATACTGTTTTTGTCCAAGTTGATAGAGGAGGCTTCGCAAGGGAACTGACTAGGGATCTGCCCCAGACCAGCACGATCACAGAGGACGGAGCAGCTCCGCTCCTGGGTGCACACGCAGTTGGCTGGGCAGGACCGCACACAGGCCCACACTGCCTGGACGTGGGGAACCCAAAGGATCACTGTCAGAGAGGAAGACACCGTCCCCATGGAGGTATGGGAGGAGAGAATCAGGACGCATCGTTAGCAAATATGTTAGTCACGACAGGAAAAAGAAATTACTCTGTCTTTGCCTCCCTTCTAGCCAGGCTAATTGCCACTCACTACTTGTACCCCAATGCTGACCAAGGCATTCTCATGAAAGATTCCTAAAAATCTTCTGCTGGGGCTTCTAAATCCTCTGAGAAAGTGTGTGTGTGTATATATATAAATATAAAACATCACCTAGAACATCATCTCTGATTAATTTCTGTCCCTAGACTGCAGAACTTCTCAGTGTCTCTGTGACTGGTCTCTCTGCAAGCTGACAGGGATATGGTTTGGCCAGGAGGCAGGCAGAGATACGCTTTGAAGCCTGCAGCTGTGGACGGATTATAGTATTTCTGGGGAGGGAAGAGGGGAGAGCAGGATATGCTAGTCCAGCAGCAGGCAAGGGAGACCAGTTAGTTCCCTGGGGCATATCAAATTCACGCTTTTTTGCTTTTTTCTTTTCTTTGTTCATTCACGTTTCTCCACCAGAGCCAGGAGTTCCCTGCAAGGGGAGCTGTCTGCTGCTAAGGATGCGTGCAGTACAGTGTTTAAAAACACATCCCCATTGTGTTTTGGTAGAAAGGCATGAGGAAAAACAAATTAAGGGATAGCGGTCAACTGTTTTCTTCATGATTTCACCATAGATGAGATACTCTGCACCTCCAGCACAGTTTTACTGTTTTGCCAAGTCTCAAGACAGTTGCAATAGTGTCTTACTCTTGATGGGAGCAGCTGCTTTTATCAGCCTGGCATGGGAGGGAGGTGTGTGGCTATTGCAGTTTCTTTTGAAATTAGGTCCATGCAGGTGGATGTGCAAAGAGGAAGAAAAGGTAAAAGTTCTTGGGAGCAAATCAGAGAAGAATGAAAGGAACAGGAGATGTCAGGCATTTTTGTGGAGAAAAAGCACCCAGTCAACCAGACATCTGTAAAATAAACTCATTAGACAGGAAGAACTGAAGGCAGAGCTCATTTTGTTAACTGGTCTCAAAGGCATATCCTACCAGCCACTCAACAAAATGAGAAGCCACATCAACGAAGTCTCCATGTAGTCACCAGCAGGAAACAGTGGTATTGCTACTGACCGGTTTTTCTGCTGCAGTTTATTGGCTCCCACACAAGCACGAGCCTTTTATATTTTTTCCAACAAGATGTGACATACCATCTTTACCAACAACCAAGTTTATTACAGCACCGCTGGGATCGCTGCTGCTGCGTGCCTGGTAGCCCCAAGGGCTGAGGCACAGGGAACAGGCTTTCCCCCACGCTCCTGCAGACTCTCTGGAGAGGGAAGCTCCCAGCAGCCCAGGCTGTCTCTCCTCATCAGTTTTCAGCACAGCAATTGCCCACTACAGGTGTATTCCCAATGGACATTTTCATTAAGACAGACTTGTGAAGTCTTTTGCCAGGAAGCATCAGCTTCAGCAAGCGTCAAGCTTTTATTTTTGCAGCCCCTAAGGCTTTAATGTACAGACCAAACAGTTCGAACTGCAATTGCTCTGCCCTTTCTCCATCCTTTTTAAAGGCAACATGCCCAGTAGTGTATTTATGAGTTTACTCTGCCTGTGGCTCCTTCAAGCAGGAGATTTGCAAAACCAGTTGCTGGTCAGGTCCCCTTTGATAGGACATCAACCCAGCAGCTTCCCAGCTTGATTCTGTTTGAACCAACCTGGACACTGCATGTAGAAGAGGGATTTAGGTATGTGGAGGGAGCAACCCCAAAGGACTTTAGCTGTGGCCTCTTTATCAAAATTCAGGTCCCATCAAGTCTGGCCATGCTACTGCGACTGGAGAATTAGCAAAACAGCATCACTTCAAGGATGAATGACAGTAAAGGACTCTGAGAGATGGAAAGGATTTTACACAGGTTTTCATTTCGTTTGTATGCTCTTCTCCTTTTTCCTTATCTAACAGCCATGGCTAAAAGAAAGGCCCCTTCAATCAGAGCCCTGGGCAGACAACAGGTGAGGAGCCTAAGGACAAGAAGGGGGGCAACGCACTGGCCTCAGATTGCTCTTTCTCCAGGCAGGCTGCCCAGGGGCTGCCTCCTTTGCTACCCTTTGCACTAGTCCACACTGCTGCTTGCAAACAGGGGCATATGTTGTTTTTGTTGGGCAGTTACATAAACTGAGGTCCAGACAGATTAAGGATTTGCCTGTTCCCAAATGTCTGACCGCATGTCTGGAAAGGATGGATGCAAGTGTTGCTGCTGGAATGAGAGCCTTGCATGGGCTCAGGGTGACATCCAGAGGGGCATATGTGCATAGGCTGTCCTATATGTGAGACTGTCCCAAGCAAGTTCAATGTCTAGCTACAGTCACCTCAATTTCAGCCACATCCCTGGCCTTCAGAGTGGACTTCCCCCAGCAGCTGTGTGTGAGCATGCCACTAACCAAATCCCATCCTTCCTCTCCCTGTATGTTCTCTACTCTCTCAGTAAAGGAAACATCTGTGCCCAAGCCATAGCCAGCCTGTTCTCTTTTTACACAAGGGCGATTCAGTGCCAAATTTGGGTGGTTTGCTAGTGGCATTTCACAGCACACTTCTAAGATCTCTATTTACAAGTGTATCTCTTTGCATTGTGCAGTACCCGGAAAATGAACACTTGAGGACCATCCAACTAGGAAGCAACCCCCTGGCAACAGGAGCTCAGAGGAACCCCTCAGCACCACAGTCTTTGTGTTAATTGTCCTTCTTTCTCTTGCAAAGGAACACCACCAAACCCAGAGGAGAGCCACTGCTTAGAGTATAGCAGCTCAGATCTTTGCTGTTGGTCAGATCTCCTCTGACCAACATAGCATGAGATATTCCCACCTCTCCCTCCTTACTCCTTTTCCTTCCCCCAAAAAAATGTTCTTTGCTTTTTACACTGTGGCAGCAGACAGGGCAGCAGCTGGAAGGTGCTTCCAACTCATTGACACAGAGGTTGCTCAAATGGGTGTTTAAGAAAAAGGGTGAAATGCAGCAATAAGGTCAAAAATATTCGTGAGATTAAGGAATAAACAAAATTTCACCCAGGGATGATGTCTTTTGCTTTTTCAAATACTATGGTAGTTCAGTATTTGAAAGGAAGGTGAGACCAAAAAAAGGTTTGCAGAGTTTTCAGAAGGGTAAAGAGACAATGATTGCAATAATTGAGTATTTAACCTACAGCTTTCCGAATGATCTGTCTAATCCACTACTGGGTAATGTAGAATAAGAGTATACTCACCATTTAAAATGATGGCAAACATTACCTTGATGATTCACTAGTGGCATTTCAGGTCTGGCAAGCAAACTTGAGGGATCTAAAAGCACACAGGAAGAGCAGAGACAGGTTTCATCCTCCGTCATTTCCCTGCATCATTTTCCCACAATAAGGTCTATGTTTAGAAAGCAAGAGCAAAGGAAAAAAAACTCCTCTCCACACACTTTCAAACTGAAGAAGTCCTCAGCACCTTCCTGGTGAGTATCTTTCTTCCACCACTGACCTTCTCAGGGAATCCTGCAGCTTTGTGCTATACCTTTTCACGAGCTCGTCTGCATTCTTCCCACCAGCCATGCCAAGGGCAGGTTCCTGTCATCTGAAGTGGGAAAAGATCATCAACAGTAAGACACTGGCCATCTCCCCTGGAAAAAGGTGCTGGTACAGAGGAGGGTAACCAGCTTAGCATCAAACAGCCAAAACTAAAATTCCCAACAGAAAGCATCTTAGATACATTGCTTACCTATCCGGGCACTGGCTGTGTCCTCCCTCCTGCTCACAAGGCTGCCATTAGCCGTACGAGCCAGTCTCTGAAAAGTTGGCATTTTTTTCTCGCAAGCTATCATTTAATGGCAGGAAAATCCTCTGTATCAGAGGAGGATTAGCGGAGATGGAAGAATGTGTCTGTCCTCTAAAGCTCTCAAAGCAAAACAGGGATTGCAGACAAACCAAACTGATGCTTTCTGCCCTCTGCCAACCTCCCCCACCATTAAAAAAAAAACAAAAACAAACCCACAAACAAACAAAATTATACGGTCCAGCATTGGACCGCTGCCATTCAAACAGCATTGCTGAAAGTCATTACTCCGCTCCCCATTATATAATGGCAGAGGAGGTGGGAGCGGAGGGTTCAGCCTAAATGTGATTATATTTAGGGGCAAGCACAGGCTTATGATTTCCCTTCGTTGAGCTCTCCAAACCGACACAGCTTGGGACTCTCTTCCCCTGTGCACACTTTCCCAGCCCCAGTGTGGCTCACACGCTGCTGAGAGGATGTCAGTGTGGTTTGCTTCGCTGGGAATAGCTCCTGAAGAACAAGGAGATGCCACCAGCATTGGGAGAAGGGTCAGCAAACACAGGGAGCTTGCACGGTGTATATGGGCTTGGTAACGATGAACTCTGCCCTGCCTATGAGTGTGTGTTGCTTGTGATGCTGCAGCTGGTGTGTGGAATCATAAAGACAGGTTCTGCATGTGGCGGTGTTTTAGCATTCAGGATGTGAATTGGTTTTTAAAGCCTTTTCTGACAGAATTATTATGGTTTCTTTGGAGAGTGGGTGCTGAATAAGTGAGTTATTTCAGCCTCCCGTGCCTTAGGTAATTGCATTCACCGTGTCAGAGGGAAAAATAGCTCTAGTCTTTATTTCTGAGTGAATTATTCTGGGGTTGGTTTTGGTTTTTTCAGGAAATGGAATACCTGATGAATTTATGCCTGATACAGCAGGAAAGATTCAGCTGGGAACCAGCCTGCTGCTGCTTAACTCTTCCTGCAAATGAAAGCACACAGCTACCCCAGGTTTATTTTGTTTTGACTTTCCCTCAGTCTTAAGGCATCTGGCTGGTACCTCAGGGAATTTGTGTCACCAGCACTGGGGCAGCTGATGTTTCCTATGAAGGCCCCGGCATACCAGGAAACCACAACCCATCTGATCGCAGAAAGCAGATCACCGGCCTTTAGGCCACGAAGAAAACTGGGGGGGTTGGGAGGGAGTGTTATCCCCAGCTCCTTTTTCCCCAACATTTACCAGAGCCCTAAAGGTGGTACCAGAAACCTTGTCTCTCCCAACTGCACGTATGCTGTACACAAGGAGTGGAGGCAGTGGGGAAGGAAAGTATGTGGGACTCAGGGACGTGATCAGTTGGCAGCTCCCCAGGGACTAAACCCCCTGCTTGGTTTGTACAGCAATACTGAATCTGCTGCCACACACGAGGAGGGACTGATCTGAACTGAGGCACCACGTTTCTGCTGAGGCTTTAGAATCATAGAATCATAGAATCATTGAGGTTGGAAGAGACCCTTGGGATCATTGAGTCCAACCATCTCCCCTACTCTACAAAGTCCTCCCCTACACCATATCCCTCAGTACTGCATCTAAACGTCCCTTATGCTTTGCACCACCGCTGCTTTGCACAGAGGAAAGAGATTTGCAAAGCCACACACAGGGGTGTTGCAGCCTCCGCCACGGAACTGGAGAACTTGTGGGGAGAGAAGTGGCACCAGCTGGGCGCCCACCAGCACTGGGGCAGCTGATGTTTCCTATGAAGGCCCCGGCATACCAGGAAACCACAACCCATCTGATCGCAGAAAGCAGATCACCGGCCTTTAGGCCACGAAGAAAACTGGGGGGGTTGGGAGGGAGTGTTATCCCCAGCTCCTTTTTCCCCAACATTTACCAGAGCCCTAAAGGTGGTACCAGAAACCTTGTCTCTCCCAACTGCACGTATGCTGTACACAAGGAGTGGAGGCAGTGGGGAAGGAAAGTATGTGGGACTCAGGGACGTGATCAGTTGGCAGCTCCCCAGGGACTAAACCCCCTGCTTGGTTTGTACAGCAATACTGAATCTGCTGTCACACACAAGGAGGGACTGATCTGGAGACATGTCTGGAGACATTCAAAACCTGCCTGGACAAGTTCCTGTGCAACCTGCTTTAGGTGGGCCCACTTTGGCGGGGGGTTGGACTAGATGATCTCCAGAGGTCCCTTCCAAACCCATATGATTCTATGACTGCTTTACTTCCACGTGCGCAGTAAAGGACTGATATGGATGGGACATGAAGGACCACTGAGTCCTGGAAAGTGCTATGGTGATCTGTAAAGCCACCTCCCCCAAAGGGGCAGCTTGTGGGACCTGGCAAAACACATCCCCTAAAGAGGATCCTGGGAGTCTCTGCCATGTACAATGGGTGCAGAGGCTGGTAGGCTGGGGGCTTGAGGGGGCTTGTTAAACTGGGAGCTGTATGCACCTCAGCAGTCACTTTTGGGTGGGAGGGAGGATGATGGCAGGAGGTGCCTATTGTAAAATCAGCAGCAGCAGCAGCGATGTCATTAGCAATGCTGCTGAAGCTGAATGCTCTAGCAGAAGCTGGAGGAAGGCTGGCAGGGAACACCTCTCAGAGAGCTATTACAACAGGCAGCCTCACTGTAGACCAGTGCAGATACTATTAGCTCCTGCAGGAGCTTCTGACAGCAAGCTCTGCCATCAGCATCCCACTTACACAGGTCAGTGGCTGCAGCTGGTCTGGCAATTGAGCCCAGCCCCACTCTGGCCTTTTCTACTGCAGCTGGAGGTAGGAACAGCTGAAACAGCCCATATTCTGCCCCAGCACAAGCCCTCTGAGCAACAGCCTCACCAACCACCCTGTGCTGCCATACCTGGAGCTCCTGCCAGGCCAGCAGCAGCTCCAGGGCTTACAGCAGTATATTTCTGGGTATCAGCTACGGGCAGGAGCCTCACGCATCTCCAGATCACAGCACCAGCAAGATAAGAACATCTCAGCATATGCACAGGGGAAGTAAGGGGGTCTGGGGGTGGGAGACACACTGAGGTCACAGTTCCTAGGTAAGTAAGGGGGTCGGGGGGTGGGAGACACACTGAGGTCACAGTTCCTAGGTAAGTAAGGGGGGCTGGGGGTGGGACACACACTGAGGTCGCAGTTCCCAGGTAAGTCTGCCATTGCAGGCAGACTGCTGCTCAGGGAGCATTGCCCTGAAAGCCTCTTCAGCAGATGCGCCAAGCTCACCACCCAGCACCTCCTGTGAACTTCTGCCAGCTCTTTCCACTCCTGATTCATTTCCTGGTAACCCTTGGTCCCGAAAGGGCATGACAATGTGAGAAAGAGGCCTGGTAAAAGAGGAGTTTCTAGTCAGGTAGAAAAACCTAAATACCAGAGGGTACATAAAGGAGTGTTGCATTTATTCTTAAAAGAAACAAACTTGGCCTTTAAACCACACCTCAACATTTTTCAGAGCATGACTCATGGCTGGTTAGTGCTGAGGGTTGAGCACACTGCAAATGCTCAGGGCTGGGAAGCTGCTGTAGCTGCTGGGCTAGAAGCAGACTCGGAAGCTACAGACCTTGCTACTACGACTGTGTTGGTTTTTCTTTTGCCACTAAGGGCTCTTCCTCATGACCTGTCCTGCCCTTTTTTATCTCTGAGAACTCAGAGAAGCCAGAGGTCAAAATAGTGGTGGAGGCGAGCCCAGAAAGCACCAGAGCTATGCTGACACTGGGAAAAAAAAAAAAAAAAAAATCAGATTACATCTGATCTTCTACCAAAAGAATTTGGAGAATTCAGCCTTGACCGGAGGAGCCGCCTCTGCTCTGGCAGTGTGTGCTGGGGACATAAGCCTTGGCACAGCTTCATGAGCTGGCAGTGAGGACAAGCCCGCCTGGCAGGGCAAGCCTGTGCAGACTTGATGCAAGATTGCTTCTAACAATTCATTTCTTTATGGCCAGGGGCATTTAATGTGACAGTGGGTTAAGGAGATAAATGCAGCTCCTCTCTCTGATACGATTTAAAATGATCACTGGCCACGACTTCTGTTGCAAGTTGAGATATTCTCCTTATGTTCAAAGGTTGGCTAAAAACAGCTGGTGGGACTCTTCTCACCTGTCCTGGGTTGAAGGACACAGGACTAACTTTTCTTCTAATGCTGGGGAAAATTGCACTTCTAGAAGACTCTAGTGTCTGAATTTGTGAAAATATTTACTTTATAGCCAGGCAGGCTCTGTGGGATTCAAGGTCTCAGTGTTTTTGAGCCTTGCCAGGGGCAGGGACAAGGAGGAGCAAGGCCAGGGCATTTGACCCAGGCTGGCCAACAGGATTATTTCATACCATGAACATCACATTCAATATAAATTAGAAAAGTTTGCTGCGTAGCTCTCCCTTGATGGCGGTGGGTCCAGACAACCCCTTGCCCCGGTGCCGGACCCCCGAGCCCTTCCCTTCCTCCTGAAGCCATTGCGCTCGCAGTGTCCGCCATTTGCTGTGGAGTGCACAGCTTCCTGCTGAGAGAATTGGCTGAGTATAATTCCTGTATCTTATATCAGTATTTGGATTAATACTGGTTCTTTAGTATTATTGCTAATTATTTAGTCTTAGTCTATTAAATCTATTTATATTTCAACCCTTGTGTTTCCTTGTGTTCCCCGATTCCCCTTTCCAGGTGGGGAGGGGTCATCGGGTGATAGAATAATTGTCTAAACGACAATAGATTGTTACGGATTTTCTCAAACCATAACATCACCTAACTGAAGGTGAGAGGTCTCATCTCACACATTCTAGCCTGCAGGGGACATCTCAGCAGTGCCCATTTTC